GGATGGGTTGAGGGCACTCAAACACCTTCTGAATTAAACTGGTCCTAATATCCCTGTTAAAGAACTGTATTTGCTTAGTCAGTTTTTTTTCAACAAATATGGGGTAAATACATTTAAAAAATCACTGCTATGTCCCAGTCTAGATATGGCTCTTTGATGTCCTGAAGATTTAGCAGTTAAATACATCATTAAAATCTACTTAGATTAATACATAAACAGCAGTGTGGAGACAGGGTAACTTAAACAGGGTCACCATACCTCATCTCTTTTTACCTTTAATTAAGGACACTTTTCCCCTTGTTCAGTGCCTCTTGAAGAAAACATGAACCTGGCAATCTGTGCATCCTCCACTCCTTGGTCTCCCTTGACCCTGTTTTAAAGAGAAAAAAAATACAATACATTTCCAAAAATAAAATTCAAATGCTTTTACTTTCCTGAACTGGGCGGTTGTTATTTGCTGCATTCAAGTACACAACCTGCAAATACAAAGGAAAAAAGAAGAACAAAAAGAACATAAATAAATACATTGGAACTGAATGTATTACAAGCTTCTTTTCCATAAACAGGAATCAATTTTCATATACATCATCGTGAATGGACTGATTTTGATAGCAGATGACTAGTAACACTGTAAATCAAATGCATACATGGTGAAACCTGTGTTTTATAGGAACACAGGGTAGCGTCTGGACCACTCAAACACACAATATATATTTTGTTAGCTAGATTTAACAAATACTCTGTAACACCCCAGGAAGCCGAACAGGCCCCTGGTTCCATGGCAGCCCTGACACCCGATACATTTATGACCTCCTGGAATTTAGGTGAAGAAAATCGCTTCCTTGCCCATAAGGAAAATCCACAAGGGAAGGACTTTTCTTTGCTAATTAATTAATAGGAAAACCTTTCTTTGAATGAACACACATGATCCTTCAGGTCATTGAAGTTTGTATACTGGCAATAATTTTGTATAAATTGTATACTGTTATGCAGGCTTATAATCGAAAAACACTCCTGTCAGCTTACATATATATAACCTTACCATGTTTAGTATCTATGAATTCGTATTCGGATGATCTAATTGAGAGTGTATATTGTATGTTTACACCTACGCAACATATTTTTTTCTTTTTTTCAACATATTTATAGTTCATATGTTCTAAGAGTCTTTAGTCATTTTAATTCCAAGTTTCATATGCAAATTACCATGCTTTCAAACAAAGGGCCATAAAAACGCCCCCAGTATCTCAGAACTCCCACTTGAGATTCCGGACTTCCTCATTGGACAAGCCCATCTTGAGAGGCGTGAATCTTTGCAGGCTTTAAAGGCCGCACTTCATGTGACCCGCCCAGTCGGTGGTTTGTTTTAATTCTGAGAGGATGTGAGAAAAACGCACCCGGAAACCCTAAGCTCGTGCCAGGCCTCGGCCTTGTCCTTTCATTTCA